TGTTGCTAGAATTGGCCATTCAGATCTTGTGCACCTCTCTGGCCTGACACTCTCCTCATGCAAGGTCCTCAGGAAAGCCAGCCAGTCAAATGGAAGTAGGTATTGGTCCTTACAGGAAACTGCTGTATTTCCTCCCTGAAGCATTTCTCAGCTGAGCTCCCTCATTTTTACTCTCTGGCTGTTCACACAACATATAACCCCTGAGGGTCTTTGAGGTGAGAGGCCTGAGCTCTGTTAGAAACCCTGATTAGAGGGAGAGATGAAGTAGGGAGTGGACTAGACCATAAAATAGCAGTTTCCTTTGCCATCTTTTATGAATTCCAGACTTCAGAACTCAGAAGGGTCCTAGCTCACTGATCCCTGAAGTCCTGCTCATCGGGGCATATTTTGGGACATGTCCTCATCAAGGTATCACACTTGGTCAAATGGAAAAGGAACTGGTTCATAGAAAGCCTAGGAGAAGACAGGTACAGTGTAATCCCAGTGACTTGGAAGACTGAGGCAGAAGGATCACAATTTTGAGGTCAACCTAAGAAACTTAGCAAGACCCCATCTCAAAAAGAGCTGGGGATGTAGCTCAGTGGTAGAGCGCCCATGGGTCCAATACCCAGTACCGAAAGTTGTGGGGGGGCCTAGGAGACAAAAGGGCTGGTCTCCCTGCCCCAGGTGGAACAGGAACAGGGTTGGTCCCCACACAAGACATGGAAAGGAGCACTGCGGTCATAGACCATCAACCCAGTGTGCCAAGCTGCCTGCTTATTGTAAGAAAGCAGAAAGCTAGGGCTCTCCCTCATGTGATTCTGGCAATTCCTACTTCTCTAGGAAATATATTCAAACTCTCAGTGGCCTCTGTCCTTAAGGAATGTGTGACCATTTTCAAAGAGAGAACCCTAAGCATGGTCCAGCATGTTGCCTAAGGGACAGCAGACTGGACCTGGGGGCAGAAAATGGTAAAAATTAGGGCTGAAGCAGAATTCATGGTGTGGCCTGTTTTGTGTGTGCTGAACCTAGATAAAGGCCAGTGCTTTCAAGATCTGAGCAGTCCAGGACAGTGATTGCTGAAAGACTAACTCATGTGGATAGCTACTAATAACTGTTGGGGACTCTAGGAAGAACCTGCCCCTGAGCACTTGCTGGCCTATAGAGGAGAATCTAGCACAAATGATGTCTCTGCAGGATCGTCATGCTGGGACCCCAAAAGGCCATTCAGATCGCTTTGCTTTCTCTTCCCTTGGAAGGTGGCCGCTGCTCAGTGGCAGAACTTTCCTGCAGCTGCAGGCCAGTGGGCTGGCTGCCCTGCTTTTGGCACCATGTCAGAACTTACCCAGTGCTTGGTTTGAGTGGAAGGAGCTGGTCTATGCTGCCAGGTGCGGCCCTCGGAGGTCAATGGGAGGCCCACCTCCAGGCAGGAACTAATTCAAAAGGTAGATGGGAAACCCAAACGATTATACCCCACCCCACTGCCTCCTTCTTGGTCCTTGTGGCCTCGTTTGAGCTATGCAGACTCACTGTCTGCCTTGGCTTCATGGGATGCATTAGGCTTTTCTATGAGGATTTGTGGTAGAAAAGCAGGTGGTGGAGAGCTCTCTGGAAGCCTGGCCTGAGATGGTTGGTTGAAAGATCATTGTAGACAGAGACTGACACAACCTGGCCAAGGCTGGTCGGTCAACTCAGAGCTAGAGTTCTTAGCCAAGTACGGTGACTTGCCAGAGTGAGGGTGCTGACCCCAAGAAAGTCACCCATGGACGTGGCCTGGAGAGAACAGAGGGGTTGCTGGAGGCCGGAGTCGGCCAGGGGTTGGGAGAGAGCAGGGTTTGAGGGCCTCGGGGAGGAGGTGTGCTGTTAGAGCAGAGGAGCTGCC